CCTTCCGATTCTGGAGACTGACAGTGCTACTTGTCCCAGATAAACTAGCTTTTGAGACTTTAAGAACATGTGTATTCGCAGTGGTTAGTTGCCACACAATAAACACAGCTGTACAGCGAGTGCTCCCCAGCTGTCAGCCACTGCAGATATCACTTTGTTCAACCTCTATTTTAAAAAGTGAAAATACTTTTAGTCCTTGTTTTCCCAATGATGGTATCGAGGCTTAGGCTGATTAATTTCCCCAAAGTGACACATAGGACCCAAAGGACCCCAATTATCCCCAACAGAAAGGGTACCTTGCTGTTGCATTTGGTTAATTTTGGGAAAATAATCAAGCTGAGTGTCAAGATAAAAGGCACTGTGAAAAGTTTGCATTGACAGGATTATAGATGGGCCTCATAAGATGTTACTTTAAAAGAACCGATGTCTCTCAAAGGATGACCTGTGGGATCCCTTGTTTCCAAACAGTAGTAGAGTAGCGATTTAAATTGGGGCGCCTTTGTAGTCTCAGAACCTAGACAGACTGCACGTGGGTACCAGCAAGTCTTTATAAATCTCTAGGGATGGAACTTGAGGATATGTTTATTGATAAGCGTCCAAAATCTGAGCATCATGGCCCTGATAGATCTCTAGGGCCCTTTTTACTGCTCACATTATAGCAGACTTAAGTATTAATTTCAAAGGTAAATGCAGTTTTGTCTAGTGTTTTCCTCCAATTCAGTCTAATAGCCGCAAGGGACACTCAGACCGCTGTCTTGGAAACTGACTTTATTTCACAGACTCTTGGCTTTATAAGCATAGATTAGCCTCACTCCAGAAAAAAAAAAGTTTTACCAATTTTTGTTATGTTTTGCCTTTTCTTAAAGCAATCACAGGTTGTAAATGAATGTTGAGTGATAGTAAAATATGCAAATATCCACTAGAGAGGGGTGTGTGTGTGTGTGTGTGTGTGTGTGTATGTGTGTGTGTGTGTGTGTGTGTGTGTGTGTTGTATTATAGCTTTCTCTTCCCCCAAAGAGGATGAATTTTGCAAAATCACAGTCAGCCAAAATGTATACATTTTGTCATGTAACTTTTTCTGTTCAGCAGCTTCTAACACCTGAAAGCAAGATTTTTTGGTAATATCAAAGTGGGCCCAGAATGTAGCTTAGAAACTTAGTATAAGGAAATGTGATGTTCTCGTGAAGCCCCCAGGGTGTTCTCACTAACCAATGAGCCAAATTGTTGGTGTAAATAAGTAAATCAGGCCAAGTGACTCCGATTAAAGAGACTCTTTCGATGCACTCTCCACCACGCTCACTATACGCATTTCTCTCTTGAGTTTTGCTGGACTTTCCCTACTCCTTTCCCTTCGTGTGTTGTGTTGGTTTCGTTCATTCATCTGGCAAATGATGGAGAAAGCCATTCCCTCACTTATGAATTAAATATGGCTTCCCTCATGTTTCCTGTTAATCCACATAACGATGAGGAGGAGTGAGACAGGAGTGCACTGATTACACCTCCAAATATTTAAAAAATAATAATAAAGTAAAATTTAAAAAAAAGCCTTGGCCTGTCTCACCTGCCGCTGCTCTGGGGCTGTGTTATCTTCTGCAAGCAGAATTGCATTCTTAGGACCCAACTGAAACAAAATTCCTTCTTGAAGGCCTGTCGTCAGGTTTGGGGATCAGTTGAGATGATGAGTGAGGCTGGCATCTTTGGCTGGCCCCGTGCTTAGTTTCTGCTCTCTGTCCTAAGCAGCCAGTGCTGCACGAAACAGACAGCTTGTTGACCTGTGTCATGGGTATAATAATTTATTCTCCAGATTTACCTTCTGATTTCCTGCCTTTATTCCTTGAGCACGTTGTCTGTGCTAAAGACATCTTTAGCCTCATAAGAAAAAAGAGGTTTCAGTGCCAAGCCAGTACAGATTAAAGTGACCTTTAATGCTGTTTTACAGAAGGAGAAGTACAGTATAGCTGAACTGCGTTCACCGGTGTTTTCCAAATCCTGTGTACTTCCCCAGCACAGGCAAGCATTCACTGTGTCCTGAAACACAGGGTCCTATGTCACAATCGTCCCTCTCCAGAGATGGGCAATGACTGTCACAGTCTTCATAAAACTTAGAATATCACTCAACTGGGAAAGGGGTATTTTAATTTATAAGAATCCCTTGAAAAACTCTAGGAAACTTTCCTTTTAATTCTAATTCACAGTTCCATGGAAGGATGTGTAAATCAAATAGTATAAGAAGGAACGTTAGTCTAAGATTGTAGCTTTAAGGGAGTTTTGATCATTGGAAGTGAATCTGTGCTCACTAGTATCTTTTAGTGAATTTTAACTTAATTGTCTAAGGAACTCTTGACCCAACATGGAAATGTTTTTAATTTTTTAAGACCTGCACCTATGATCAACACTTCAGGGCCCTCTTTGTTGAAGAGGTTCCAAATTCTTGAAGTAATTAGTACTAGTGAAGAGTCTTCAGTTATATTTGACTAAACAGCTTCAAGAAACCAAATCCTGTTTGGGCAATGCTGATAGTATTTTTACATAAATTTTGGAAGTCTATGAAAATATTTTGGTTAAGGCCAAGGCAATACACTATTCTCTCGGCATGGGCAGAGGGCTAACCCTGAGTATTGGGTTTTGTTTTGTCTTCTGCTTTTTTGAAAATCATTTTCTTACATAAAATATAAAATATCAATCAAATCAAATATAAAATGTTCCCTTTATTTAAAATGATTTGTAGCAGACAGAAATGACACATTTTCTAAATGTAATTCAACTGTTAGTCCATTTAGATTCTGTGAATTATCAGCAGATAGACACAACTCTCCATAAGTTTCCTGCTTCACAGACTGAGCGTATCATGCATCTATTAATGCCATCTGACTCACTGAGCTTCCATTACCTTATTGACATCATTTCTGGCAAAATGAATGTTGAATGTCATTTATTCATCATCACCTTAAGCTATTTAAAAATAATGTACCAAATGACTATCTCAGAAGATCCCAAACCTGGTGTTCCTAGCATGACAGTTCTTAAAGCTGCACTGATTCCAAGAGTTGGTGTTTAATTACTGCTTTTTTTAGGTAAATATGCACAAAAGAGATCGGTGCCTTTCCCTGTATCTCTCTCTCTCTCTCCTCTCATCCTGCTGCATCCCTCTCCCACCCACCCCACCCCACACTGCCCCTTATCTCAGTCAAAGGCAACTTATTTTGGAAGCCAGTAGGAGCTATGATGGTGACCCTTTGGTCTTACCTCCCAGCAGAGCTACACTGCATGCCAAGCAGGAATTGCTAGGGCTGATCTTAGGCTGCTTGAACACTATTGTGTTCCAAGTGAAAAGATTTCTCAGCAGTTTTTCACTTGTATAGGGCAAAGCCTGTCTGAATGAAATGGTCTGTTTGAATCATCATCCCCACTAAGTAGCAGCGTAAGCCATTGGTGTTTTACTCTTCTTGAACAATAAGAAACCAGGAAAGGCATCGCAGAGAATTTTTGCTGTGTTTCTAACTATGATGCAATCCATTCAGTCAGTGAAGAAGATGTTTATCAGTATGTACTTTGACCTGATAGTGGCCTTTATTTCAAATTATCTGTGATCCATGTAGCAAAAGTACACTGACTCTCTTTATAATCCTGTACTGAGTATATCACCACACAAAACATCCTGGGCATAAAATATTTACAGAAGAAACTGTGCATTCAAATACTCAAGGTATATTTTAAAATTAGTCGACAAGTCAATGTCCTGTCTTTTTCCCTACCTGCTCATTTCAACAGTGTCTCCCCCGACCCTTATTGCCTAATCTGCAGTACAGCTTTAATGCTTCCTGTGTGCTCAACCCAGCAAAGGAACAGAGGCTTGCTCCCTCAGAGAACCTCTGTGAGATCTCTACTGGGCAAGGGTGGCAGGAATGTAGCTGCACGGATTGAATATAACCATGAGACCATCTTCATGTCTCTCGCCTTATGAGTTAATTAAAAGTGTGGATATCACTTTTTGTAACTGGTGATTTTTATAAATGTTCTTTCCTTCATAATTCTTCCAGTCACCCATCTCACAAAATCTTGAATATGCAATTATTCATTATGATGCATTACTGCAAATAGGATTCCCATTTCAAAATGCAATTTAATGTGAGTAAGTTGTTATTGAAATGTGATTTTTTTTCTGGAAAATAAATGAAAAATATGAAAATAAACTGACCTGTGAACATTTTATTTCCTGCATCTTAAAATTTTAGCTACGTTTTTGGAAAACATAATTACATAATTAAGGGAGAGGATGGTGGACCCACTGTCTGGCAAAGTCGAGGGCTTTCTGGTAGGAGGAATTCGGTTCCATGATTTGACTAGAGGCCTGAGCAGGTTACATACATCACAGTTCTCAATATCCCCATAAAAATAAAATAAAGGGGCTGGAGAGATGGCTCAGAGGTTAAGAGCACTGACTGCTCTTCCAGAGGTCCTGAGTTCAATTCCCAGCAACCACATGGTGGCTCACAACCATCTGTAATGAGATCTGGTGCCCTCTTCTGGTGTGCAGGCATACATGCAGACAGAACACTGTGTACATAATAAATAAATAAATCTGTAAAAAAATAAAATAAAATGGAACAATGGCGTCTCTACATCACCGGCTCTTTAAGCAGATTAAATGGGGGTAGCGGCTATAGATCACTGAATAGATCTAACTTCTATCTGGTAGTAGTCAAGAGCAATTCTTTCCTGCTCTTATCTTTGTGTAAACAGGGATTGAGATGGGTTTGAGGGCTCTTTGAACATTGCGCTGGAGTCCGGATGCTCAGTTACCATCCTGGCAAGGACACTACTGTAGGCTGTGTGCTATGGGTGGCGTCTGGTCTCTTCATTCAGTGGGTGCTCACTATGGCAGGAAAGAAGGTGGGCCCTGGACCCCAAACAGCCTGCCTTGCAAACTTCTTAAGCTTCAGTAGTCTGGGAAGAGCCCACCAAGGAAGTGAGGGAGTGCAGCTTGCTTCTGTCACAGCAGGGTTTAAAGACCCTGTGCTCGGGTGCGCCCCAGGCACATTGTTCAACATCAGTTTTCAGTTCACTACTTCTGTAATGAGAGAGCAGTCATTTCGTGGCACAGTTGTTGGGGCTACGGAATAAAACTGAATCGCTGCACAGCATCTATCAGCAGCGGGGGAAGAGGGGACAGGTAAGCTCCTATGTCTTCGTGTCTCGGGTGTGATGTCCTGGAAAACTTCCGTGTTTCCCACTAGCGCCCCTGACATCCGCAGGGAGAGAAGTACGATGAGGAGAATCTGAGGATGCATCTGCAGTCAGATCGTGGCAGCCCCACAAGGCAGCAGGGCTGGGAAGGCCCAGGGACACAGTAATGATGGGATGCCTAAGTCTAGAGCTGCTCAAAGGCCCACCGCGCCGGGGAGGGGCGGCCTGGGCAGTGTTTGGGGAGGTCACCCTGGAGACGGCATGGGTGCCCACGGGAACTACAAGACCAAGAGAGACCGGAGGCAGCAGCCAGTCTTTCTGCAGCTCCACTGAGGACGATCCCAGGTCCAGGTGGTCCGGCGCACAGCAGGTCAGTGTAGGCGCTTGGGGATAGAGGGTCCAGGACAGGAGCCTGGGGAGGGAGTGGCCCATGTGGGGAAATGGAGATCTTTGCACCCAGTTCAACAGAACCAGAAAAAGTGGTCCCAAGTTTGACCTTCAAAGGATGATGCTCGACTCATCTGGGAAGCGCTGGTCGTCAGCGATCTCCCCTACTCGCTGCACCTCTGGGACTTCTCGATTTCATCTGGGGTCTCTCTAGGGAGGGCTTGCCTGCTAGCAGAGTTGGGACCAGCTAATTCTCCGGAATTAGCAAGCACGGGGGGGGGGGGGGGGGGGCGGGGATACACCCTCAAGTTAGGAGTGCAGTTCTTAGTTCTTCTGGAAGGGAAGAATCAGTGGAGTCATGCTTTAAACAGACGACTACTGAGTAGAGCAAAGCAAATACTCCAAAGACAGACTAACACAGTCTGCTCAGGGGGTAGGAGCCGCGCAGTGGGCTCTTCATAGTGGAATTCCAAGTTTATGAATATTTATGAGATGGGTGGCATATTCATGACGTAAGGTGGCCGTTTTTTTGTCTCTCCAAAATTAAAGTAAACCTGATTTTTTTTTTTTTAAGCGAATTTCTTTCTACGGTTTCTAGAAAACCTCCCAAAGAGCGTCAAAATCACCAAACAACAAGGCTGGGGGTCTTGTGTATACACCTTCATTAGTGCGCATGTGTAGGAAGACACCTTGGGGCTTTGGCTTTTTGAGTCAGGAGACTCAGCTATCGAAATGCAGGGCTAACTCACCTTTTTGAGACTACTTTAGGCCCATGATTGACCTCATAGCTCTGTTAAGACTTTTTTTTTTTTTTTAATGAAGTTTTACATTGAAGGATGGGGCGGCCGGGTTTTACAGCAGACTTGTAGTCTACACAATGGGAAACAGGACTCAACTCTGTAGGACTGTGTTCTCCCTGTGAGAACTCTCCAGTTTGCCTACTTCATCCAAGCACAGGCTCTGGCACCACATTGCCTTCCACAGCCACAACAGCAAAAATTAACTCGAAAACTTACACCAAGATTAGATGCAGAACAATAATAAAAATATTGACTTGCGGTGCAGGACAGCATCTTTCTACAGACACCCATCTTTCCGTGGTGACTTTCTTCCTGCCCATCAGTTAAACATTTTGGCTACAGATTAATGTCTGTATGAATTAGTGTAGGCGTACTTTTCTTTCCTGTCTGCCAGTTCCCAAATAACCAACATGAAGACTTAATATTAATTACAGATATTTGGCCAATAGCTCAGACTTCTTACTAACTAGCTCTTACAACTTAACCCGTTTCTATTAATAATTCTGTCACATGGCGTTACCTCTCTTTCATCTTGCACCCCATTTCCTCTCGGCATCTCGCTGGCGACTCCTCTGATTCCACCCTGCTTCTTCCCAGTGTCCTTAGTCTGGTTCTCCCACCTAACCTTACCCCATCCAGCTATTGGCCAGAAAGTTTCTTTATTAAACCAATCACAGCTTAAATTACATAGTGTACGGAAAGATAATTCCACAGCAAGTTAGGTACAATATTGCATAAAAAATGACCTATTTCCAGTTGTACTGGCACAACAAAATAACTGCTTACACTACATATCACTGCTCTCAGGAAACCTCAATCCCCATTCAAAAGGGTAACACAAGCAGCTGGGTCCTCCACCTGGGATGAAGTTTAGCCACAGAAACTAAAAGATTTTCATATCTTTCTTTTTTTAAAAAAACAGCATTATTTTTTCCTAGAGTGTGTTATGATGTCAGCCTTGGCTAAAGATAAACTGTTTCCTGCACTGAGGAAAAGAGGGAGTGTGTGCTCCCCAAGTAATCACGAGTTCCGACAGAAGGAGGGTCATTGGCGCGTCAGACAGTGAGTACCGGAATGTCTAGAGCCTCCAACTATGAGTAATGTTTACCAAAAGCCAAAACATTTTCCTAGGGATGGAGAGGGGTGGGGGGGGCCTATGCCCTTGGTCTTTGCGGACATATTTAAAATGGGAGAGAAGGCGTACATTGGTCCCAGCAGCATGTTTACTGTTGAAAACTACCTCTTGCTCTGCAAAATAAAACAAAAACAAAAACCACCTGTACTGCAGACCAGCTGCCCTCACAAGTCCCTTAAATTCTCCTCGACATTATAAAACTTCAGTTTGCACATTTTGTAATCAGTATGTACATACACATAGCAACTATTTAATACAAATTCTGTACTATGTTTTCAGTCTTTGTCCATATCCTCTTAACTGGCTATATAATATTTTATGAATTTGTAATCAGGATCAGTTAATCATTCTCAAACTATTGGACATTTTCCATTTGTTTTCTTTCTTTCTTTCTTTCTTTCTTTCTTTCTTTTTTCACTGTATAATAATTTCTGCCAGGCAGTGGTGGCGCACGCCTTTAATCCCAGCACTTGGGAGGCAGAGCCAGGCAGATCTCTGTGAGTTCAAGGCCAGCCTGGGCTACCAAGTGAGTTCCAGGAAAGGTGCAAAGCTACACAGAGAAACCCTGTCTTGAAAAACAAAACAAAACAAACAAACAAAAAAATTTCTACTTGGTTCTCAGCAGTACAGTTAGTGAGCCAAAGTGAAATGAATCCATCTTTAATATTCCCATGGCATTCCATTTGGATGACTATTCCCAAGGAGATGAAACAAATTACCTGACATAATGGTCAAGCAATGTACACAATAGACAGGATTGAGGACACCCCACGTTAACACCGTGGTTGGGAAGCAGGAGCTATCGTGCTTTGCAGAACAGACCATAATTAATTAGGGTTGTGGAAACTGAGTCTTTTTATTACCAGAGTGACTCAATTTACACTCACACTTGTTTACAATCTCACTCTCCGGCCTACAAGTGTGTAGACTGCAAACACAGTCTCCCTCTTTGACATATGGGGAGCTGAGTATAACAGAGCAACAACCCCACCCTGAGTCAGAAGGATGCTACAATGATTAATTCCTGCTTCTAGTCCTCGGCTGTGCTGGCTGCCAGTTCTACACTATTACAAGTGTTCTCTCGTGCACCCCTCTGTCTTTTGAGGTTAGGGCACTGGTGATTAAACCCAGAACCCCTTGCACACTACGCAAGCACTCTGTCACTGATCTACACTCCGGCCCTCCTCTTGTGTTTTGGTTTGAGACAGGGTTGCTAAGTTGCCCAGAATGGCATTGGATTCTCTCTGTTCCAACAGCAGGCTTTCAGCTTTCCATTCTCTCCTCCGTCACCCAAGTTGCTGGTGCTACAGACCCAAGTCGCCGAGGCAGCCGCGTGTTCTTTTTCAAATATCTTTAAAAAATAATTGTCCACCTAAATGCAGCTTGCTTGTTCATCGAGACCACTTAAGTAAGAATTTGATAGAATGTCCCCGTGGCTTTAAAACAATACCCAAATTCAAAGACCAGTGTAGCTTTCCACTTTCGTTGATCTTTTCCAAAACAAAGTAGAAAGTCATCTAAAAAGACTTGTTTATATTTATTTACTTAGGGGCAGGGAGCTGGCGTACCATGGCATGTATGTGGCAGTCAAGGGACAACAAGAGTCAGGATGCTCCACTCTTTCCATTACGAGCACTCAGGTCATCAAACTGGTCACTAAGGGCCTTTATCCACTGCCGTCTCATAGCCCTGGTTCGCTCTTTGCAAACCACGATTCTTATGATATTGGTGATTCTCCTTCTTATGAGTTTTCAACCAGTAGAAAGGTTATGAAATCAATGTGTCCAAAAATGATGCATCTTTTTCTTGAAAATTATTTCAAAATAATTTTTTTCAAAATCTAAATGTCAGTATTATCAATCATCTCCTGGAGGGCATTCAGGACCTGAACATAATCTCATTTAATCTCCTACATTGCTCTTGCTTGGCCACCTTCATTCTTGATATTTTACTGTGAAATAGCTGAGTCCTTCGGGTCAAATAACTTGTTACAATGGCCAAGACACAGTCCCAAATTTAGAGTATGACTCAAGAGGCAGGCCACAGATGCCTTCCAGTTCCCACAGCACCGTCGCCCCCACTCCTGCTGGCATGCTGCCCTCTGTGGCCATACTCTGCTCTTCCTAGGTACTCTCCTGGCCCCGGCTGCTGCTGGCTAGAACTCCACTCCCTGTCTGAAATGCTCTTCTCTTTTCTGCTTTCTTTCCTTTTTCCTTCCTCCTCTTCAGGAAGCTCACTAAATACCCAAACTGGACAAGCCCCACCTTCAGACTAAGCTGGAGGCTCTTTCTCTCTCTCTCATGCTGTTCTCCTCTTTCTTCTTAGATCTATGTGGTCATTGCTTTTTTAATCTAGCTCCTTCAAGACACTGTGAATTCACTTGTCTTTGTAGCAGTAGACACATTAAGAAGGAAGGCAAAGAAGTAGAGTGAAGGTGGATCTCTTTGGGATGTGATATAAGATCAGCATGGATTTGCCCTTTCATCTGGAATTTTAGGTCTTCAGTCCTCTACATTGCGACTGATGCTTAACTGTCATCCTGGGCGTAATAAACATTTGAAGTGCCTCCTGTGTTGTGAAAGAAAGAGTGCATGTGTATTCAATGTAAGCATTGCCATCTGCTTTTAGAACTAGATCCTTTTTATTCAAGTTATGCTTTATAACATTCTCTTATGTGTCATTAAAGAAAAAAGAAGCATTATTTTATAAGGGGGTGTCTTTGCTGCCCAGACTGGTCATAAAGCCATTAATTATCTGAGTAGCTTGGATCAAGAAGAACCCCACTGCATTTAGCAGCAATATGAAGCCTCTGAAGCTGGGCCCCCTTATCCTGCCCACCTAAAACACAGGTTAGCACGTGACTTTCTTTGAACAGTTGTTGTCCACCCCATTGGAAATCTGAACTTGGCTTTTCATGTAGACAGTTTATAAGAAGAGAAGTGGTAGCAGCAAACACTTACCTAGCCCTTATCATCAGACTCAGTCCTGCTTCCAGGAAGCTTTACTAGCCTGGCAAGCAATGGCCAAGGACCAAGTACAGTCTGAAACATGGCTGGCTATGGTTTCCCAGCTAAGAGTGCTTATTCCATAGCTGGAATCAAAATTTAAAGGAGCACCGTTTTGTGGCATGCAAATATTGGTAGGAATCCAAATTCCACCATTCATAAATACAGTTTTTAGACCATGGCTTGCCTGCTCAGTGCAGTGTCCCCACTGATTTTGGGACCACAGCAGCAGAGGCAGACTACAGCAACAGGAAGCTTCTGGCCCCCAAACCTCAAAGTTCCCCCCACTGTTTGACTTCTTCCAGAAATGTTGGTCAGTGTCTCCTCTACTAAACAGGTGTGGGCATCACCCCATTTTCAGATAAAGAAATGGCAGTTCAAGGAGGTTGAGAACTGAAACCACAGAGTTAGCAAATAGAAAAAAGACTTTGACTAGCCAAATACTGTCATTGCACAGAAAGTGGCATTCTGTGTGTAATGTGCACGAACGCCCCTGTCCCCTTTGTTCACCAGAACCTTGGGTTGCCTACTCATGCAGCCAGACAGATATTCACAATGGCGTTTTACTTACCGGAAACTCACCCTCTGGCTGACATTGGACAGCATTTGAATAGAAGTTCTCGTCTCCTGTCCTTAAAATGGAAACAGAAACCATGAGATCAAATTACTTTCTATGGCTAATGTGACATGTTATCCAGGCATATTAGTTCAGAAGCCAGTAGTTCTACTGTGGGTTTGGGTGAATGCTGGAGACCACAGAGTCTTTTGCCTCAAACCTGTGTTCCCATGATTCATGGAACAAAAACTGTGTGCACCCATCATTCTCCACCAGAAAGTGTTGAAGTTATCTAGCAAAGCAGGTCAATTACACTATATTGGCTTCCTTCAGTTAGTTACCCGAGATACAGTGAGCCTGTAGTACATGTCTGCTAGTGTGCCACACATTAGCCATAGAAAGGCACCAAAGGGATCAAGCATAAAGACCTTTGTTGTTCCAGTACACTGAGAGCCACTTGGGAACACTGCATAGCCAGCTAGGTATCTCAGTGAATGACCCAATTGGAAAGCACTGCCCCATGGACTTTGTAGGACCTTGCTTGGGCAGACAGTGGACAAGTAATTTTATATGGAATGAATTTATTCTAGGATTCCAATCCAAGAGCCCTCACATCAGAAGTGAGGTCAGGCTATCCTTTCTTTTGACGCCTGAGGGAAATGCTAGAAGATAGAAGACCCAAGCTGGAGCATGTGTTAAAGTGCCATCTGCATCAAGCTTCAATACAGTTTTGCCCCAGAGAGAGAGGCTTAGAGAAGCTGAAATGTCATGTTTCTAAGTGAAACACAATGGCCTCCCTGCAACTTCTTTGGGAAACTATGGATTAAATAGAGGAGATTCTATTTTACACCAATTTATTTCTATAAATGAGGAAATGATAAATTATTTTTTAAGGCAGGCTAGCCTGTAACTCACTATGGGGACCAGGCTGGCCTCAAATTTGCAATGATCCTCACACTGCTGCTTTCTTAGCCCTGAGAGAAGAGGCATGCATCACCATGGCTTTGGACATTGGAGGGTTTGGGTTCTTGTGTCTGACATTGTTTTAGGAGAAAACTCTCTCACTGTAAAGAAGGAGAGGAAGCTGATCCTTGTTCCACTTAACACCGATTTACTCCAGATGGAAGGCAGAGAATTGAAAGCTATAAAGCACATAGAAGAAAGCACAGGAGAATCTGTCTGTTCTAGAAGTAAGGCCACTTACCCTCCACCCCCCGTTACACACACACACCACCACCACAACAACAACACCACAACCACTACCACCACCACCACCACCACCACTACCACCCTGTGCTTCCTTGAATCCATAATCCTCCACCAGAGCCTCCAGAGTGTTTAGATTATAGTTATCCACCGCCATACT